GCAGACCACCTTGTCGGTTGATGTACGCAACGGTCACTGTACCGGGTGCTGGGAAAGCATAGCCGACATCTCTGGATCCGATTCAGGCGTTGCCACTGTCCCGGAGGGCGGCAACGCAGCCGAATCTTCCTCTCCAGAGAGCTCTCCCTCCGATGCAGTGATCGATCCGGTCGTCGGGGGGAGCACCGAAGGATACCACTGGTACGCTCTTTGAAGAGGGCCCAGCGCGTTCCTTTGGCGGCTCAACTGGTTGCGAAGCGCTAGAGGAGCGATGGTCCCCCGAAAGTTGGTTCCCTGAGTGGTTTGCCACCACTGTAACGACCGCCCGTGCTACTGCCCGAAGTAGTCCACGCCTGGCTGCCGCCAGGACGAACAGTAGATCGCGGCAGAGGTAACGGAGCTCCGCCCCCCTGGAGAAAACAGAGCCTGGCCCGCAGCTCTGAGATGGTCATCTTCCCACAATGGGAACATGACTCATCCGCGAACGCCACCTCAGCGTGCTTCATGCCCAGACACGTGAGGCAGCGATCGTGACCATCACCCGGCACCAGGTAACGATTGCATCCAGACACACACGGGTGAAACTGCATCTTTAAAAAGACGATCCGTCGTCTTTACAAAGACACATCCGTGGAGCTCTTTTAGAGAAATTGCTCTTTCAGGGAAATGCTTTTTTAGTGCCGAGGCGCACAGGGGAAATGGCCGCTTGCAGCACAACAGGGGGTAGTGCAGCCTGAAGTGCGCAACTCGACACAGGAACGACCACCGCTGAAGCGCCGTCCGCCAACACCAGAAGCTTCCAAGAGCGCGTTGAACTCGTAGCTCACTGAAGACACTTGGATGGAGCAAAACAATGTTGTCGCTCGGATCCAAAGCGAAAAGCTGGTATGCATTGCACCGGCTGCCTTTTATGCTCACGCTGTGATCAGCAGCAGCTGGATGCAATAATTGCATGCCAATGTGCATTGGCTCGTTTAGTTACACTCGAAGTAGATTGGTCTCTCGAAGCGAGATCCCAATTCGTCGGTCACGACGTGACTCGTAGTGACCGACTGAAAGGGAACCTCAGTTATCTTCATCATTATTTACAAGACCTACTGTTTTTTTTTAGTTTTTTTTTTACAGTGAATCCCATTAGTTCAAGAAAACGTATCATGCTGTTACAAAACATCAATGAAAACATGCAGGAATGACAGTGAATGCAGCCAGACTTGATGCGGTTGACATCTGCAAAACATCTCAGGTTTCTCTACTAAACATCTGAGCTGTCATGCGAGCGTTTAGACCGTCTAATCAAACAGCATCAAGATCCTGTGGAATGCTGCAGACATCTGAAAAGAACTTCTGCATTAAACCGAGAGGCACGCAATGAATGTGATTTAACGGATCTGATGTTTACGCTTCTAGCCAGTCAAGTCATGTCATGCTTCAACCAGAAGGTACTTAATGTGAACATTTTTGACAGTGTACAGAAATGCAATTATACGACAAGCTGATAGGGTCTCTCGAGGCGCTCACATGCACATAGAACAAAACCCTCCGGAAAAAATGACTTGCTATCTTCAGGTCATGTCAGAACGGTCATATACAAGATGAGCGTGTCTGAATGTTACCACATGGGTTACAACATACCATATTACATAACTGCAACTTGCTTTTTTTTGCGACAATTTGCTGAAAATTGTACTTATCCTCAGGCCATTTTAGATGAGTTTTTGTTTCTTCATGGGAACAGATTTGGAGAAATGTAGCATTACATCACTTGCTCACCAATGGATGCTCTGCAGTGAATGGGTGCCGTCAGAATGAGAGTCCAAACAGCTGATAAAAACATATCACAATAATCCACAAGTAATCCACACCACTCCAGTCCAGTCCATCCATTAACATGTTGGGAAGCAAAAAACTGGTGTTTGTAAGAGAAAAAAAAATCCATATTTAGATGTTTTTAACTTCAAATCATTTCTTCAGCTAAAATATGTAAAATATCTCTATGTGTAATATTGCTTTCTCCAGTGTTAATTACTTAATAACTAAAACTAAAACTATTGAAAGTTAATTGAATTAATGTATAAAAATGTAAAATATAAATATTTGATCAAAAGAAAAACAAACAAAAAACCGTAAATAATTGAAATAAGTTTGGTTAAAGTTCTAAAGTAAAAAACAAAAAGAAAAAAAGAAATTCAAGCTAAATAAAAATATTAAACAAAAACTAATAGCAATGACAAAAGCACTTTACAAAATGACTACAATCTTAAAAAATATCAAATAAAAGCTAACTCAAATTATGAATAAATACCAGCAAAAAAAAAAAAAGAAAGAAAAAAAACCAGGAAATTGCTCCACATAAATCTAAATCATTTACGAACTTATATTTTCATTACAACAAAAAGTCAAGCAGCAATTTCCCAGGATGACCTGAAGGCAATAATAAGGACAGAGTTTAGGAAATACTGTATAAATGAGGTCAGAGCAGACCACAGAATCAAAGGCCTTCACTCTTCTTCTGTGTAGTTTGAACGTCCAAATGAATTCAGAAAGCATATTTAGTGTCTTCTGGTGTTTATGAGTAATCCCTGTGGTAAAATCCCTTCCTGTTCCCTGACCAACAACCTAAACAAGAGGGATAAGGAAGCATACATTAACCGGCAGCAAGTCTCAATCTGTCCACTGATGTTTCTTGGAGCAGCAATAAATTTGTATGTATACAGACCATATAATATGCTGCATGTAACTCTACGATTGCTGCATGTAGTTTTCCATTATAGGTAAAATGAGAATTAACTTGAATTTTTTTGGAAGTAGTCGACATGAAATCAAAATGGATAACCTTTCCAAAACACATCTACTGTATGTGTATGTTGAAACGTTTCATGCACATTGAAGACCCTAAATGAAAAATATTCACCAAAATTCATGAAATTCCCTAGTGAAAAATAAATATACTAAAATGTATTTGAAATACTTTTATGTCATGCTAAGTATACTACACATATATTTACATATTTATGTTCTTAATAAAAATACCCTGCAACTGTAGTTTTGGTAAACTAAACTAGTATACTTAAAAGTCTGCTAAATTGGAACACCTAATTTTGTGCTGAATGCCCTTTAATTGTGTGGAAGTAGTGCTGAAGTCCAACTAAAAATATACTGTAGTATATTTGTTTGTGCTAAAGTTGAACTATTGCAAGTATACTTATTCAAAGATCATGCAATCCTCATCAATAATGACATCAAAACACATTTTAGACTTAATATTAAGAAATGTGCATTGTACACAAGTGATACTCCAAATAAAGTTTAATTATAATTTTTATATCAGTAACTCTTGAGCGATATGTCAGTAAATATATTAATAGATTTGAACTATACTTAGTATGAAATGTATTTTTAAATATATTATTTTTTTACTAGGGCTATTACTATGTCATATTAGCAGGTTAATGTGTCGATTTAGCAGCCCAATGAATACAGCTCGCTCAGTTTGATTGAAATCCACATATTCAATGAGAATTTATTGTCACGAGCACAATTTCTCGTCATAAAGTTACACAAAAATAACGGAACACATTTACACAATCCTAAACTCATTGTTCAATGGACAGGCTAACTAAGTACCGAGAGTTAAATATGCACTCACATTGCACACAATGATATTAAACCTACACAAGTATATATAGCTGTATGTGAAATAAACCATGGTCCGACATAAAAATCACATTATTTACATTAAACATCCATTTGATTTCCAAAAAGGTTTCACGTCAAGGTCTCTCCATCAGTCCAGAGTTGTGGCATGATCGAGTTTCCACGTTATTAGTCCAAAAGTTAATAGTAAGAATCGCAGCTGCCACAAAGATTACAATGAACACCGCGAAATGCTTGATATTTACGCTGCATCTGCTCATATGAGGCTGGTGTCGATTACTTCACAAAGTGACACTGTTGCTAGTGTTTTCGTAAGAAAAGTGAAAGTAAAAAAAAATTGCAAATTAAAAACTTCAATTCAAATCAAATACCGTTTTTGTCTTTACATCCGTCTACATTTATTATTAGTTAAGCTAGGTTATAGACATCACTACATAGACTACATTTTACATGGTAAGCGTAAAAATATCGCAACGAAAAATGAGGTGCAACACGTGAAGAAAACAATCCTTCGCGTCACGAAAGATCGTAAAAATACTTCTGTACGATAAAAACGTCAAAAAAAGGAAATCTCTTCATTATATTTATGCATGTGTGTGTGTGTGTGTGAGAACAGTCTTGACTTGAGGTTGCCAGCTGAATCGTAACTTTAACATACAGTAATCTGACGCAAAAATCCTGCGTCATATTCACATTTCGCCCAAACCAGACATTCATTTGCCTGCTTTCTATGTAAATTAGGCCTTATTATTGATGCTGCTTTATTATAAGTAAATTATACCTTGGCATAAATAATCTTGCACTTTTACTGCTCACAAAATTGACTGTAAAAGCAAATTGATTAAAAAAATGATGTTTGCGTCTTTTTGCGATTTTGTTTTAGTGATAATGGCAGCAGTTAATCATCACATGATGGTTAAATGAGGAAGAAGAGCGTCAGACTGGGAATATATGTGACTCTGGACCACAAAACCAGTCATAAGGGTCAATTTTTCGAAATTGAGATTGTGAAATTACCACCCGAAAGCCAAATAAATAAGCTTTCCAGTGATGTATGGTTTGTTATGATAGGACAATATTTGGCCGAGATACAACTATTTGAAAATCTGGAATCTGAGGGTGCAAAAAAATAAAAATATTGAGAAAATCACCTTTAAAGTTGTCCAAATGAAGTTCTTAGCAATGCATATTACTAATCAAACATTAAGTTTGGATATATTTACGGTTGGAAATTTACAAAATATCTTCATGGAACATGATCTTTACTTAATATCCTAATGATTTTTGGCATAAAAGAAAAATCGATAATTTTGACCCATACAATGTATTTTTGGCTATTGCTACAAATATACCCCAGCGACTTAAGACTGCTTTTGTGCTCCAGGGTCACATATTTATTTTGCTCTTTTGTTTGTGAATGAGGAATTAAGCGAAGTGTGTGTGTGAATGCAGAAATGTGTTTCAGCAGCGTCACGTGTGTCACATGTGAGATGACGATACTGCAGTCCGAACCAAAACAAACAAAAGAGTCTCCGATTACTCCGAGAACGGCGGGAACATGCCGAGGTCGGCAAAGTCTTCGATGTTGTAATTGGTTGTTCCTTGAGTGGGATCTCCCGGCATCGGCAGCATATCCTGCGGGACAGAAACAGAGCGTGATGTTCAATCAGATGTTCAGTAGTGTCTGTGAACCTAACTATAATAGCTCATTCACATCAAGAGATGCTACAAAATTAATTTGCACGACTAAGAGAAGGAACTAGAATCAAATAATTCAAAAGTCTGTGGGAAATTAAAATATTTCGTTCTCAAATGCTTTTTATCACAGCTCGGCAATGATGCGCCATATCTGCAAATGAGATTTAGGAGCTACAAACTGAAGAGATGATTTTCACCCAAAAATGATTTCAATTTCTGTCTCTAAAACAAAACAATCATATGATTTCAGAGGAATTTTTGATATTGTTAGCTAAAACTTCAAATAAGGCTGAAATTAAATTTACATTTATGCACAGATGCTTTTATCCAAAGTGACTTCCATTTAAGGTACAATACATTTGATCAATACTAGCAAGAAAATAAATATAAATACAATATAAATATTAATATATGAAATATTAAATTAATAAATATTAGAAAACAAATGAAAATTTGAAACACTGCCTTGACAACTAACTGACATAAAATATATGTTCAAGTACTAAAATTACTAAAACTCTAAGTAGAAATATAAATAATAATAAGAAGAAGAAGAACACAGCAAAATTACAAAAACTTCAAAATACTACAACTAAAATTAAAACTGCAAATATAAAAATAATAGGCAAACCAAAATATGAATAAATTCTAGAAGATTCTATAATAATAATATTCTATTAAAATAACTCTTTAATAATAACTACTTGATAAAAAATAATTATGATAATAAAAAATAAGCCAGAGAATGAATAAATAAATGAATTAATTAATTACAAGAATTTAAAGTATATCAATGAAAGTGTTCTAAAAGTAAAAGTTAATTTGAACTATTTGAATCCTCAGTTTCTTTCGTTTTGTTAACTGCAGCTTGTGCTTTTGCAGGTCAGTCAGAGACCTCTACACTGTACTGCAGACATGTGGCTAGTGATAGTGAGTTCACCTGGAAGACCTCGGTCTGGCTGGACTGAGGATGAGGATGAGGATGCGGGTCTCCTCCCTGCTGGCTGTGGTGTTGACTCTGCCACTGAGACCAGACCTCAGACGGCCGGCCCTGGAACTGCCCTCCGCTCTGGCTGCTCTCACCCGACACATCTGCACAAACCAACACAGACACATTCACAACAGCCACGAACAGACACTTCTTCAGCTTAAAGATCACTGGACATTACGTGTTTTGGTTCTTTTTGCAATCCCAGTGAATGGTTCTTGTATGCAAAAGAGCTGTGAAGTGTCATTATTGTTAACTAAAATAATAAATCATTTGTTGATTGAAAGCTGAAATAAAAAAATATAAATATTACATGAAAAACGTAAACTTAAAAAATTGAACAAAACTTAGAAACTGAATAAAATAAAAATAAGTGTTATTTCTGTTAACTATTAAAAACATTTGTTAATTAAAATGAAGTTTAAATAAAATACAGTGTTAGATTACAAAAATCATGAAAATTATACAGAAAATAAAATATTATTGTTAACTAAAACTATTTTTTTTAAGTCATTTGTTGATTGAAATAATATAATAATCTTAACCGAAAGGCAAACTTAAAAAAACAAACTAAAATTATGAACTGAATAAAATGAAAATAAAATAACTGAAATAAAAATAAGTGTTATTACTGTTAACTATTCAAAACATTTGTTAATTAAAATGAAGTTTAAATAAAATACAGTATTAGATTACAAAAATCATGAAAATTATACAGAAAAAAAAAACAGAAAATAAAATTTTATTATTGGTAAACTATTTTTAAAAAATCATTTGTTGATTGAAATAATATAATAATCTTAAACGAAAGACAAACTTAAAAAAAACAAACTAAAATTATAAACTGAATAAAATGAAAATAAAATAACTGAAATAAAAATAAGTGTTATTACTGTTAACTATTCAAAACATTTGTTAATTAAAATGAAGTTTAAATAAAATACAGTATTAGATAAAAAAAAAATCATGAAAATTATACAGAAAAAAACCCCCGAAAATAAAATGTTATTATTGGTAAACTATAAAAAAAAAATCATTTGTTGATTGAAATAATATAATGATCTTAAACGAAAGACAAACTTAAAAAACAAACTAAAATTATGAACTGAATAAAATGAAAATAAAATAACTGAAAAAAAGCTCAAACAAAATAATGCTAACTGAAATACAATGAAAAACTAAATATCAGACGAAAAACTTAAAATCTATAAACTAAACAGAATAAAATAAAAACGGAAATTAAATAAAACAATTTTAAGCAATAAAATTACTAAAAGTAAAATTGAAATAAAAAATAAAGCTAAATAGAAATATTAAAAAGCAAACTAATAAAAATGTACATAAAATGACTAAAACAGTAAAAAAAATCCTGCAAAAAAAATCCTTTTGTGTTCTACAGAAAAAACTGAATAATGGAATAAATGATGGCAGAATATTGTGATACAGATCCGGGGGGATCTGTATAGGGATCCAGGGGGCCCCCTTGCTCTCAAAGATGATTTAATTTTAGTTTTGTTTCTGAATTTGGCCAGCGGGTTATGAAAACATGAATGATCATTTCTTTTAATGCGGTGCGCTGTTGCCCTTTCTACGTAAAAATCAGTCAAATCCTGTAACGTGAATGTCGTACAGTCTTGCTCGAGACTAAAAAAAAACCCGGGTATTTAAAGTGCACTTTTTCTTTTTGGAATTTTCAGTGTAAATGCACTAACTCGCACTATTTATACTAAAAAACGTCATAGAATAGTGCACAAGTACGCGATTTGGGACGCACCTTAGGACCGGCATCTGAGACTTTATGGTATTTACGGGGGGGGGGATGACATTTACTACAGGCTGACAGAATCATTTAAACGCATGCATCGAGTGTGTCTTCACCCGCGGGGCCCGAGTCTTTGCTTAGGAAAGAGTGAGTGGAGCAGACTAATGCGCGGCGTGGGTGGCTGTTTTGCAGGATGGCACAGCGGCGCCCTCGGGCTGTTTCTCATATTCTCCATGCTGATGAGGCAGTGATGTAAGGTCAAACTTCTCATTTCCCTACTGTGTTAACGCTTGCCGAGAGCGGCCCTCCTCCGGCTCCGTTTCTGCCCGTCTTTCCCTCAAGGTTCGGCCGCTTGACACGCCTCGTAAATCTCTCCATCAATTTTTCTATTCATCTTTGGTGGCGTTTCTCTCCCCTAGCCATCTTTCTCCGTCCCCATCAATCTGAAATCCACGTACTTCGTGTTCTCCCTCGGTGTCTGGAGCGCTTATGTAGCGCGTATCCTCCGGTCGCTCCGTCAAACCTGATTCTCAAAGATGTAACGCTACAAAACGCCGGAGTGACAAAAGCAAACGGCGTTCAAAGAAAGAGCCGGGCTTCGCTGTTGTTCCCAAGCGCGCTTCAATCAATACGAGGACTCAAAGCACAAAGTACTCTTGCTTTGATAACGATAAATGCAGCTTTTGAAAGCTTGCTGGATTTCACGTACACATATAAAGACTGCAATTAAGGCACAATGTAACATTATCTCAGCATGAAACGTTTGAATGAAAGCGGTGTGTGATTATTGTTTATGCATTGCATTAGCTGGGAAAGTAAGACTACATTGTACGAACTATGAAGCACAAATCCAAAGAGTCTAACAGGAGCTGGTTTATCTGTAAATATAGAACTGTATTGATTTTATGTAAACAGTCACTAGGCGATTCTCTTATTCTGTGGAATGTATTTATTTATTGTGGGGACTGAAAACTTGTGAAACATCTGTGTAAAAACATTGATCATGTCTTGGAACCAATAACTAGCAGTCAATTAACTTTGAGCATATACAAATAAAGAACCACTTGATTTTCTGAAGTTCGTAGCATTTGGTAATGACGCCTAATAAATCTGCCCTCAGATCATGATATGAAAATGTTAAAATTAATGACATTTCTGATCTTCAAACCGCTGCTCTGGCAGTGATGTGCTCCCCTGTCACTTCTCACTTCCATCAGAACTGAATATGAAATACGAAAATATGGTTTTTGAAGTTCTTTGGGAAAAGTGCAAAGTACAACTTTCCTCATTTTAACACTTTATGAATTTATCACAGGGAGAAAGTTATTAAGTACATTTCAGCTAAATTTAGCATTTGAGACTTTGGCAAGAGTAATTAAGATTATTAATTAAAATATTATAATAAATAATTAAGATTCTAATATTTTATACAGCAAAGTATGTGTGTGTGTGTGTGTGTGTGTGTGTATATATATATATATATACACACACACACACACACACACACACATACTTTGCTGTATAAAATATTAGAATCTTAATTATTTATTATAATATTTTAATTAATAACCTTAAT